TAGTGTGTGTATGTGTTGTGTGTATGTGATGTGTTGTTGTGTGTACGTGATGTGTTGTGTATGTGATGTGTTGTTGTGTGTATGTGATGTGGTGTTGTGTGTGTGTGTATGTGATGTGGTGTTGTGTGTGTGTGTATGTGTTGTGGTGTTGTGTATGTGGTGTGATGTGGTGTTGTGTATGTGATGTGACGTGATGTTGTGTATGTGTTGAGGTGTGATGTGTTGTTGTGTATGTGATGTGGTGTTGTGTGTGATGTGTTGTTGTGGTATGTAGTGTGTGTATGTGTTGTGTGTTTGTGATGTGTTGTTGTGGTATGTAGTGTGTGTATGTGTTGTGTGTATGTGATGTGTTGTTGTGTGTACGTGATGTGTTGTGTATGTGATGTGTTGTTGTGTGTACGTGATGTGTTGTGTATGTGATGTGTTGTTGTGTGTATGTGATGTGTTGTGTATGTGATGTGTTGTGTGTATGTGATGTGGTGTTGTGTGTGTGTGTATGTGATGTGGTGTTGTGTATGTGATGTGATGTGGTGTTGTGTATGTGATGTGACGTGATGTTGTGTATGTGTTGTGGTGTGATGTGTTGTTGTGTATGTGATGTGGTGTTGTGTGTGTGTGTATGTGATGTGGTGTTGTGTATGTGATGTGATGTGGTGTTGTGTATGTGATGTGACGTGATGTTGTGTATGTGTGTATGTGATGTGATGTGTTGTTGTGTATGTGTGTGTATGTGTTGTGGTGTCGTGTATGTGATGTGATGTGTTGTTGTGTATGTGTTGTTGTGTGTGTTGTTGTGTATGTGATGTGTTGTTGTGGTATGTAGTGTGTGTATGTGTTGTGTGTTTGTGATGTGATGTGTTGTTGTGTATGTGTTGTTGTGTGTGTTGTTGTGTATGTGATGTGTTGTTGTGGTATGTAGTGTGTGTATGTGTTGTGTGTTTGTGATGTGATGTGTTGTTGTGTATGTGTTGTTGTGTGTGTTGTTGTGTATGTGATGTGTTGTTGTGGTATGTAGTGTGTGTATGTGTTGTGTGTTTGTGATGTGATGTGTTGTTGTGTATGTGTTGTTGTGTGTGTTGTTGTGTATGTGATGTGTTGTTGTGGTATGTAGTGTGTGTATGTGTTGTGTGTTTGTGATGTGATGTGTTGTTGTGTATGTGTTGTTGTGTGTGTTGTTGTGTATGTGATGTGTTGTTGTGGTATGTAGTGTGTGTATGTGTTGTGTGTTTGTGATGTGTTGTTGTGGTATGTAGTGTGTTTTCAGACAGGTGTTGTCAGTAACAGATGTTGGATTGTGGCAGTGCTCTGTTTATGTTCTCAGATAACTGACAGGGTTTTCTGGATTTGCTTTGGGTAGTTGAGAGACATAACATGGATGTGATTAACTAATTCATATGTATATGTATTTATTTTTTGTTCAACATCAATGTTTTTTGTTTTGTTTATATAAAGGTCAGTCCATCTCAAGTGGTCCAAAAGTTGTTGTTTGCTTGACCTTTTAAAAAAGTTAAGGAGATTTAAGCGATTAGCTATGTTGGTATCGCAAAGCAACGTTTATATTACTTGGTTTAATCACATTGTGTTGTGGCCCACAATAAACTTAGGTTATACTGATGTTTACGGAAACCTTGATCTCATTTCAGGACGACTCACCCTCACCGTGTCGCTCCAAACCGGTCTGATTGTCTTTCTTCTGGGGAACACAAAAGATATTTCGAAGAATGTTGAAAAGCAGACAGTTTTGGTAGCTATTGTCTTCCACCTAATGGAGAAAATATAACACTGAGACATTTCTCAGAATGTCTTCTTTTGTGTTCCACAGAAGAAAGAAATTCATTCAGGATTGCAAGGACATGAGAGTTTCCATTTTAAAGTTAACTGAGGCCCCTGTTTGAAAATCTTGCTTGGATTACATCTGTTCATTTCTCAGAAAGCCTGGATAAATTAGGCTTTCTCCAGGTCTCTACTAGCCCCAGCTCTGTAACCAGCAGAATCTCAAACTCAGATCTTTTACAGCACAATATTAGCACAGAGGACTCGTATCTGTGATAGCAGCTTCCCGTCTGCTCCCCACCAGAGATAATCAACCTGGTAAATCAGGGGAATTAGTAAAAAAACTGCCCTTGTCCCCATAAAAAAAAAGAGTGTTCTCAATTTAGGAACCTTGAACCCTTCCCATGATAAAGTGACTCTAAGTGGAACTCGATCATTACATTTTGTTTGATTGCAAGAAAGAAGGTCAAATATTTGCCTTATCTTATTGAGTGCATGTTATGCTGTTCATAATCATCAGTGTTTGTCTTTAGAGAAGTGCCATCTCTGTTGAAAATATGAGCACATAGCATGAAATAACCCAGTTCTGCCATTTTCTTTTAATATCATCCCAGTTCTGCAGCTGTTTTCAATCTGATTTCAAAAATCAATTTTTTATTT